TCGTGCTTAAATGGCATTTTTCGTTTGTAGTAGACCCTGAAAAATGACGAACTTTGGACATAGTGGCTCATTTGGTATTTGATTAACAACAAAGAGGAAGGAAGGGGAGCGGAAGCCAAATTGGAGTGATAAATAAGTCGTGGTTAGATTCCCAGAGTTCGCAAAATTTTCATCGTTTTGAAAAATTGTGGCAGATGACACACATCAATAGGCCTTGTCTAAGCCTCGACAGTTTTCGTCTGCTGAAAACCCCCAAGTATCGAGGAGACAGATTGTGTGGAGTACATGGCGTTCATTATGGCCTATGAGCCATTTACACAAATCTTTGTCATTAAAGCATATAAAAAGGCTATGCAGCGAAGCAATGCAGAGACTATTGATTATTGATTGGCTGAAGGGCGTCTGCACTCACCCTGAATTTGCTTCCTTCTCAATCAGCACCACAGCCGCATCAACCAGACTGCTCGAACGCGCTTGAGTCGCCTTTGTTCAGCCTTAATAACAGTGTGCACATCACGAACGGCTTGTACTACGTTAAATCTTGTTAAAAATGATAGGGAATAAAATTCAATTGTAAAATCAAATAAAAACAGTTAATGGGAATCAAATATGAAAACAATGTTATTCGTTTCTAACAAACCTAATTTAAAACAAATAGAAAATATTATTTCCTTTCATCTTAACTTATTCCGCCTTTATTTATGCATTTATATTTTGTCGAGCGGGGTGTGCGATGGACTTACCTCCACGTGGTGAACCCTGAGCAACGTATACCCATACGGCAAAAACGTCTATTAACCGACAGTTGACTCCTGACTTCAAACTACCATGACCCGACTGTATGTCTCACTCGACCCCTTCCGCAGTACTCAACTCAACTTTTTCTCTACCTTTGTCTGTCTTTTTTACATCTGTGGATCAGTCTCCTGTTCCCCCTCTCGATTTTTTCTCACTTTGATGTTCCTCCTTCCCTCTGTGAAGCCTAAAGTTTTGTTAAAAGGCTAGTGATAATTGTCAAAACGCTTTAAAGTTTTGTTAAAAGGCTAGTGATAATTGTCAAAACGCCTGCCATTTGAAATACATTAAAAAAATAGTTTGTCAAACTAAATATAGGTAATAATACCAATATATATATACTTCTAAAATTTAAAATGCACATTTTCTGGTATTGATTTCACTAACCCAAAAATGCCTATTCAAGTTAGCTGGTAGACATACACAACAGAGTGCGCGCCAATTGGCGAAAATTTTTATCGAGTGGAAACATGGCCTTGAAGTTGTTTGGATTTACTTTTTGTGAATGGAATGTTGATCCAAACTATTGCTATTAAGGTTATGCCAGTTGGATTCAGGATGTCGTGGCCAATAATTCCTCTTAACTAATAAATCAATTAATGAAAAAGGCAGAACGAAACGTCTATTGAAATTAGCTGTTAAGCCACCTTTCTAGAAGTTTATGAGGTGGGAAATTTCATTCTGTGCCCATGGAAGCAATGAAATTTGAATTTTCCTAACCAGACTGAAATCCTCCGGATAGATTTCGAAGTTGAGTGATGCAAAAAATGCCTCTCTTTAAGTGAACATTGATCTGCCTATTCGGTAATTATGGAAACAATTCTCCGAATTGTCTGTCCGTATTGGATACCCCCGGCATACGCGCACGATAATGAGACATTCCCAACTTCCTGGGAAAGCACGCCCACTTCGATCAATCTAATCAATCACTTTGAAAGTACAGTCTTTTCGAAATTCATCCCCCACCCCCACCCCCAGCACCAACACTCCCATCTATCTGCTTGTTACGAAGCTATGAATTCGCTGGATAGATTTTAGCAAATTCCTTCATTAAAGTAAGTTGAAGCATTTGTAAATACCCACCTTACTGAGGTGTTTTCAAACGCTGGACTACCTTCCCTATAGTCACTGTGATGGGACTCTACTCTGATGGGTGTGGAATAGTTCCGTTGGCCATAAAATTTGTTTGAGACACATTAATGAATAACGATTGTCGTAAGCACTTATTTATATCCAATGACAGGCTATTTGATAGTTATCAATAACCCTTCAGTTGATTTAGAGGTTCGCACATTGGAAGGAACATCAAAGGGAAAAAAGTCGAGAGGAGGAGGGAGGAGATTAAAAGAAACAGTTACAAAGATGGAGAAAAAGGTAAGGTGAGTACAGTGAAAGTGGTTGAATATGACATACAGTGGGGTCATGGTAGTTTGAAGTAGGGAATATGAAATGCAATGGGGCCTTGTTAGTTTGAAGTCAGAAGTCAACTGCCAGTCCGAATATGACATACAGTGGGGTGATGGTAGTTTGAAGTCAGAAATATGACATACAGTGGGGTCATGGTAGTTTGAAGTCAGAGGTCAACTGCCGGTTTATAGACTTTTTGCCGTGTTAGGGTTAGATCAACTGCCGGTTTATAGACTTTTTTGCCGTATGCGCATACACAATGACATACAGTGGGGTCATGGTAGTTTGAAGTCAGAAGTAAAATGTGGGCTTATAGACTTTCTTGTACCACGTGGAGGTAAGTCTATTGCACACTCCATGTTGTAAGGATTCGTTTTCCAGAAGCTCACAATCGTTTTCAAAGTGAATGGAAAAGCTCTCTAATCACAAAGCATTTACCGAGTCCATTAAAAGAAGTGTTAGCAACACTTGATCCGAGTAAAAGTTATGTCCCAGGAAATCCCACACCTTGTCGATCAGCATTGACCAGGATGGTTAGTCATTCGACCATTGTGGTGTTAGCTCGAACCCCTACCATAAGAGCACTCTTTAGACTCGCCTCTGCAGGGAGTGATGATAAAGTGAAAAAATCGATATATAATTTGAAATCAGGCACATTTCTCATAAGTTGGAGATTTTGCTCTGCTATATGTATCATATGGCAGGGTATGCCTCCATGTGGTGCACCCTGGGCAACGTATACTCATACGGCAAAAAGTCTATTACCTGGCAGTTGACTTCTGACTTCTAATTACCATCACCCCCACTATATGTCATATGTCATATTCGACTACTTCTCAGTACTCATCGCACCTTTTTTCCACCTTATCTACCTTCGTCTTTGATACACTCTTCTGTTCCCCCCCCCCTCCTGAATTTTTTACACTTTGTTGTTTCTTCCCCTCTGTGAAGACTGAAGTCAACTAAAGGGAAATCAAAGCGCCTGCCATTTGATATAATAATAAAAATGATTAAAACGCCTGCCATTTGATATAATAATAATACTTTGAAATGGTAATGTTCCAGCCCTCTGTGAAGAGCTATGTCAACTAATGACCAAACGATAACCGTCATAAGGCCTAAAATTTGATATAAATAAATAAATAATTTCTAACTCAATCGATAGGCTCAAAAATTCGAAAAGAAAAACAAATAATTAGTGGTGGTAGATTAGAGTCCGAAGCGGGGTGTACCAAACACATGAAATAAAAAGAAACCCGAATTCGGTTTTAGTCCCTTTGATAATTTTTTTTTGGTGATCCAACTTCATGTTCAACTTTCAGCTGACTGCTTTTTTTCTTTGCCCGTTTTGCACTGATTTACAATTCCCCAATGAGGAGAAATTTTCATTGGTTAAAAAATTGAATTATCATTCGCGTTTTCTTGGATGATAAATAAGTAACTACCCTCATCTATCAATGCTGCTTATCCTTCATGGTTTATTTCTGGGACACAAGTACGACGTAGGCCAAGTCTCGCCCCTCCCCTCCCCCTCCCCCTCTCCCTACCCCCTACCTCCCTCCAAACAGTGTGATTTCAGGAAATGCTATAATAAAATTGAATATATTTTGTAGATATGCATCTATGCGGTCCTCTTAGAGCCAATGAGGGGGGGGGAGGTTGATGGGAGTATAGCGACTCGTAGTTAAATGATCCAAATTTGAGTAAATAATCGCCATAATCACAGACATTCGCTAGAAGGAAGGAAGTAAAAATGATTCACAAATGGTGCCTTATTTAGCCTTCACTTCCAATTCTGCATGCAAGCGCATAGTCGAGACCTGTAATCAGGCACTTCTTCACTACACCACTAGTACAGCTCAACTTCCGGATTTTGTGGTTAACAAAGACTGAGGCACTCTGGATAGTAAAGTGGTTAGTTCTAAGCCAAACTGAGTGAATATAAACCTACTGATAGTAACTATCATCTGAAGTTCAATGAAGCTAAAATTGATTTTTTAGAAGACGTTTCTCTTGGAGTCTCTTCGATGAGAGATATGCATTCTAGAATCAACATGTTAATCATCATCAATCACTCTGATTGCTCACTTTCAAAACAGGGCTATGCTATTTAAAAGCATTTCAAACAATAAACAAGAACAACTGTCTTTACCAACATGATTTCATTAACCTCCTCATCCATATATTTAAGAATCAGCACAAAATGAATTAGAGGTGGTCATCACAAATGTAGACCGGCGCATCTGCTATCGCCGACCGATTAGATTAGTCAGCACACACTCCAAAGAGAGAGAGAGAGAGTGAATGAATCGTTGCTGCCGCAACAACAGCAGAATAAGCTTTTATTTGTGCCACCGTTGCTTCGTTTTCATCATCTAGACCTCAACACCATCATCATCTCTACAACGAACGCAAACACAATTGTGCGTATGTGTGTGGATGTGTGTGTGTGTGTGCGTGCGTGCGTGCCTGTTGAGCGAGTATGCGTTAGTTCGCATCTCCACACCTGTTTCGTGTACGCGTGCTGCACGAATGTCCGCACCACGCGGTCGAGCTATTGGCTCGCTTTCACGCATCTCGGACACAGACGCACTGGCGTGCGCGCGCATAGTTACTTTACAAATATCATCAGCATTTATAACAATCTGTTTGAGAGCTTGACTGTGCTGTGTTTGTGCAAATACGTCGTCATCGTCGTTGTTGTTGCAAAAAACGGTTCATCTGCTTACTAGACGCCGGTACTGGATCATGATTAAACCCCTTTCTAGTGGATAATTACTTACTCTAACCTCGAAATTATGGATTTTATCATTCTCAAGGTATGTCTATTCATTTTACCATTTTTATTGATATTTCATTGGTCAGGAACTGAGTCAATATATCTTACTAAAATTCTAGGTTCTAAGTTTGGAATTGTGAATTAGGTTATTTCTCAAGGTCATAGGGATTGGTGATTGATGAGAAATTTAGTTAATTCGATAGGTAAATTCCTATCGATTATCTAAAATATCACGAGCTTTCGAAGCTGTAATTCAGTTAGCTTAACCAAATTATATTCAAATTAACCAAGACTTAACTGTTTAAGCAGTCTCTAATTTGCAAACGAATTTCTACGAATTTCTTGCCAAAACTGTCTCCGGCCACCTGGCTCATGGCAGATGGTCTTGGGTGCTCGTCTTGATTGACAGGCAACTTCTAATTCGCATTGTTTTCGTTCTGCTTATTCAGATGCGTCATCTCTTTCGCTCTCCTGGGGGGTGGGGGTGGGGAAGGGGGTTGATTGTGTGTCTTTTTAAGCACAGAATGCGTTTATCATCCTATTATTAAGTGTCTCTTAATAACATTATCCAAGTTGGGCCGATGTTTTCAAAATTGTCAATTAACTCAATAACCTCGATAATTCAAAATTCCACTAAAACTTGAGATTACACAAACTGTTGCGTACCTTTCGCATCCCATTACTTCGTCGTCTAACCAGGAGACTTCGCTAGTCTCTTCTACTTAATTTCGATTTTTTACCTTCCTCTTTTTAATTCCGTCCTAAGATTGAATTTCAGAAATTAAGGCACTGATGTATAGGCTGATTTCCCTCAAAGTGAGCCCTACTTTAAGAATGATTGATTCGTAGACAAATTTCATCCGTTAATTTTTTTATATGGTGAATAGAAGAAACGTCCATTGCATCTGAGGACCAATAAATCAATTGGGGTTCCTTTTTAAAGCGCTAACATGACCTTTGAGAAGCATTCTAGAAAATGTGGCTGGCAAAGATAACCATCTACTAGCAAATTATGCACTGTTTTTGGCTAATGAAGACAGAGCAGGTACAACCTCTCGATGTTAACCCTCCTCCCCTTTCCAGATATGCCGTTCTCCCCATTAGCACAAAATTAAAAATATCTTTCTTGAGCCTACGAAAATTCAATGTAGTACAAGCAGGTTGTCCCCGTCAGTAAAAACCACCGAGCTAAACTAATGGCAACACGAGAGCCAGGGGTATATTACCTCTTTGGAACCACGTTTCACACTCCAAAATGTGAGCAATACATCGTTCATTACAACGGGCTATTAGTTCGTGAAACGATTGAGATCATGGAGTGATGTCGCACTTTTTAAATTATTTCTCGATGTGTTGATGATCAGTTGAATTTGGCACTCTCTTTATACCCCCCCCCCCCTCCCATTTGTATATGTTTTGATGTTGAATGAGGGTATATGTATGCTGAAGGCCTCTCAACTCTCTCTCTCTCTCTCATTTATCACTTCAATCTTGGCCGAAAAAAAACAACACATGTGCGAATTGTGGGGTGTTGATGTACGTCTATGTAGATATAACTTAGTCATCGCTAAATCATACGACGCAGTTCAGGATAATTGAGTGAATGTCTCCGACTCTCTCCTTTCCCCTTGACATTCGCCAGACCTTTGGTACTGGGTTATAAGGCGTTTCGTTGCCTCCAAGTAAAATGGTTTGCTTATTTTATTCATGCTAACCCCTAGCCATTAACATCCTTGAGAATTTTATCGATTTCCATTACTGATTGTTTGCTGGCGCCTTAGCTGAAACTAACTTGTGAGTGACATATAAGACCTCCCACGGAGAATCATTTTTAATCTTGGATAGCTTCTCCAATAGCGTATATTACATAAATTTTACCTATTTATTAAAACAAAACTTCTTAGTTCTACTTAATTAGATAGGGTTTTGTGGTTTAAATTATAATTTTTTTGCTCAAATCGATAATTCCTTTTTTATCAGATGTTATTTAATACATCAGTAATATGAAGTCTATATTCTTTCGAGTAACTTGATTTAACATATAATCGTTTTCCTCAAATCTTTAAGATACAAACCTGGTTGCTTAAAATCAACTTTTCTCTAGATATTCTTTCATGAAATCGCAATCAAGTACCTTCTAACTGTGACGAGTTCCACATCCGTGTTTCATTTTGCAGATCAAAGTATCGGAGTATCGTTTGTATATTTAGACATTTATTTATTTATTTATATCAAATGGCAGGCATTTTGATAGTTTCATAAGCCCTTTAGTTGACTTCGGGCTTCACAGAGGGAAGGTTCATCAAAGTGAAAGAAAGTCGAGAGGGGGTGGGGAGGGGGTGGGGAGGGAACAGAAGAGTGTTTCAAAGACGAAGGTAGAAAGGTAGAAAAGAGGTAAGGTGAGTACTGTGGAAGGGGTCGAATATGACATACAGTGGGGTCATGGTAGTTTGAAGTCAACTGCCAGGTAATAGACTTTTTTGCCGTATGAGTATACGTTGCCCAGGGTGCACCACGTGGAGGTAAGTCTATCGCACACCCCATATTTAGACATTGATACTTGCATTCAACTGAGTGGTATTCTTAGAAATGTGTTCTAATTAAATTGACCGAGACACTTTAACCTTGAAACATTGGGGCTTTTAATTACAGACGACACTCCAGTACCCTCCAGTCCACCCTTCACTAGCTTAGAATCGATATGTTTTCCATCATTTCTGGATTTCAGTACTCATCGAAGCCCTTCTTTAAGGAGTTTTGAAGATAGTTTCCATTTGAGATTAGCAGGAACCTTACATTTAATTTCCTTTCACGTAT